TTCTGGCCTCCCCCCGGTACTACACACATGTGGTACACATTAACACATCCACACACCTAAAATAAAAAAAATGCTTTAAATGTCTTTTTCTGGCTTCCTGTCCCATCATGTGACCTCTTTTCTGCGTGTTCCTATCACTGTGATGACACTGTCATGAAGCCCTTGTCAGAGGAAGAATCACAAGAGCTGATATACCTTATACTTTCAGATGGTGAGCAAACTCATTTCCTGACACTTTATCCTGCTTCAGCTATTTTGCTATACCAATGGACTAACCAATGTATTAACAAGGGTTAAGCCACTTGCTTAGGAAGCCAAGCTAAGACCTGTTTCTAGGTTATCCGAATCTATAATACATTTGCTTCACAACAAGCTGTGAGAGCTTTGAAAACTGCCATGTTTGATGACTGGTTGTCCAGACAGTTGGCAAAAACACTCTGCCCTTCTTCTTGGATCCAGAGGATGGTGGGCTAAAGGTAACACTTTTTTCATTGCTCTTCTGGATCTACTGTTTTTAGGAAAGTTGCTAGGATGGATCGGAGCTGGAATTCAGGGAGGAAAACTGTCCCAGAGGGACATTCCTTTAATTTACAGGGAATTAAAAATAGAGGCTGGGTTTCCCATCCATCTTGAGCACAGCCGTGGAGTTTACTGAGGACCAGAGCCTGGGGATCTGACTCAAAACCTGAGTTTTTGTGAGATGAAGCAAAAGGGCATTCCCTCATCTACCTGCTGGTAACGCACGGCTGAGCTACGGCAGGGAAGGAGGGCTGCGGAGGTCGGGTGGGAAGAGCAGCTTCACGAAGCCAGCCCAGGACACAGAAAACCCATCCCCCAGAGCACCATCTTCACGCATGGCCTACGGACGGCACGTGCGCTTGGGCGCACAGAAACAGCACATGTCGGGCGGCAGAACCAGTCTCCTCTCCCCCAATTGCCGTTGGCCTTGTGGCAGCTTAATCCCCACTCCATGCACTGAAAATGCCGCTAAGGATTTCTTTCCGTTTCATTTGCTCATCCTGTGGGCTGTCAGCAGCCAAGGAGGAAAACCTGTTGTGTGTGATGGGGGACTTTGATTCATTCACGGCATGCTAGGGACACAGATTTGGTAATGATTTATTTTGATAGTATTTGGTGATAATAGTGGCCCAGTGCTAGCCAGAGTTAAGAAGGAAGGTGAGGAGAAACCAGGGAAGGCAGGCTGTCAGGCTGCTGATTGGGGAGGTCTGAGAAAGAGTTCTCAGTGCTGCCAGCAGCTGGCTTCTTATAGCAGGCCAGGCCTTCGCTAAGTCTGACCACAAGCTGGGCTGAGCGGCTGAGGGACAGGCCCTGGGCCTCCCTGGAACAGCTCCAGCCTGACACAAATGGAGAGAGAAGCTCAGGGGTAGCACAGTGTGGATGGGTGCGGGAAGTGCTTCTCTCAGAAAAAAACAAAAAACAAGTTCAGGGGTTGTCAGGCCTGCAAAGAACAAAGGAGTAGAAAGGGCAGCAGGGAAGGTCAGGCCCAGCTTGTACCACACTGCAGCAGAGGGCAAGGAGCTACTAAGGTTGGCAGGTGGGGTCGGGTGGGGAGATGGTGGGCTGTCTCATCTCCTTTTAGGGTGAGAGCATCAGAGGCCAGATGAAGGGGCAGACCAGGGTGAGAAATATCCTTAATTATGAGACACAGACTCATTAAAATAATTGAAGCCATGGCGACCTTTAAATGAAATAACCGAAATCTAAGTTTGTAACGGTTGGCGGTGGGTGGAAAAAGGAAAATCCTTAAGAAGACTTTACTATTTTCATTAAGGAAATAAGACATCACTAAGCTTACGTGATGGTGTGTTATTATAGTAAATCCAAACACACTGGCAGTGTAACACAGACAACTCAAAGACACGGGGTCTGCTGGAGACACCTGTCAGCTGGCCACTCCTGCACGCCTCCGAGTAAGCCCCACTTGCGTTTAGATGTGCCCCGGGTCCCTTGTTAGACAACAGGCTTGTCCCCTTGTGAGGCTCTGCTTGGTTTCTATTGTTTTAAAAAAAAAACTGAAGGGCTCTCCAGTCCACTGAAACTGTCGGAATACTGAAATCGCTTCTCACAGCCTAAATGGCATTCAGAATAAACACTGTGAATTGATGAAACGACCAATTATGTGAAGTAGGCTTGCCTGGCGTAAGCCAGACCAAATCTCCCCCCATTATCCTCAAACCGAGGTGATTCAGCAGCCCAGCCTGCCTGGGATTTTGAACCAAAAGTCGGTGCCACACTTGAGGTCCAAGCAAGACCCTGAGCATTTCCAGCTAATTTTTCGTATTAGTTTTATGCTAGAAAATACCAACATTCAAACGCTCACAGGCCAAACAACTATTAGACAACTGAAGGCAGTTCCCTGTTGTAACTATTATCTCACTCTGGCCTCAGCATCATTTCGGCTTTTTCACTTCCATGTATTTCCCCTTAGAACATCACATTACAGTAAGTCCCCTGACTGCGGTTTGTTTTTGTTTTCAACTTTATGACGGTGTGAAAGCCACATGCCTTTGGGAGGAAGTGTCCTTGAAGACCCAGGCATGGTGACTGCACACCTGTAATCCCAGAAGGACCGGAAATTGGAGGTTATCCTTCCACATAGCAACTCTGAACCAGCCTGAGTTACATGCGACTATCTCCAAAAGGTAAGGAAAAAAAGAAAAGAAAAGAAACTGTCTTTTCAATACTGATCCTGCCTAGGCGAGGCGTATAGGGCTTTGATGTCTTACGACGCTGGGCAGTAATGACGAGGCTCAACTGCAACGGCCACTTGTTAACAAGGACAGACCGCTGGCACTTTACGGTGACTTGCGCTGTTAAGTGCACGGTGCGGCAGGAGAAGACCGGGGCTATTTTCTGCTTTCCGTGGTTCACGTGGATACGGACAAGGAACACTGCCATGGCCCAGGCATGCCCCACATGTCATGAACTCTTGTAGTTTTCCTCTCTGGCAAAGGCACATCTATGAAATTACACACACACACACACACACACACACACACACACACACACAAACACACCTTCTGTTTTGAGTCCTTGCTCATGTGTTACTTCCCCCAAGAAGTGATATCCCTCTTCTCCAAACTCCTACCAGAAAGTAAGCCTCCTCTTCTGGACACCCCTAGAGGCCCCGAAGGAGAAGAAAAGGTCATTTGGGAAGATGCCTTTAAAGCCTGAAAGAAAATCTTTTCAGGGTAGAGGGGTTCTCAAGAACTCAAGATAGGTAGGGCAAAATGATGAAAACATGACAGAAATAAATGTAAACCCATCCCTGCCCACACTCCCAAACTCAGATCCTTATGGTTTTCAAATGGACAATATAGACGACTGACAGACACCCCCCCACACACACATTATAGTCAACTGAATATAGATTCCATATACATCTGAAACCTTTATTAGTTTAGTTCGCAGCATATAAGGAATTATGAAAATTTTAAATCATGAAGAAGAAAAAAAAAAAAAAAAAAGAAAGACACATTCACCCATGAACAACCCACAGCACTCACCAGCTTCAGGCATTATCAACTCTCTCCATGGTTTTGTGTCATGGGTACAAACCAAAAAACCTGACTCCCCACAGAGTAATCTTACCTAATGTAGAACAGAACGGATTGAATTCTGTAAGAAAGAGCTCTAGGCAAACAAAATCCCAATTCTAAAAATAATCCAAAGGTGAATGATACCTACGCCATTACTATAGCCAAGAAGAGACACTGGTGAATCTGAAACTCACTCAATCGCCGTTTCCAACCTTGGCAACTGTGTGTTAACATCTCTTTCCTTAGACATTTAGGGTACCTATGATGTCTATGAAAGTAGAATTGACCCAGCTCTATCTGTACCAAGAAAGTCATACCGAAACCCTCCTGCTCCTAATTTCACATACTGTTAAAAAGCATGAATCCGCATGGCCCATGGAACAAGAACCCTATCTCCCACCACTGCTGGGACTACTGCAGAGAGCCCATGATAAATGTCTCATCCTGACCATCAACGTATGTTATGTGACTCCTTCATGCGCATGGCGCGCTTCTGTGTATCCTTTTACAAGACATGCTTAACAGGGCTTCCAATCCCTCCTCCTGCAACAGCACAGTCCTGAAGCTCTTGGACATTCCTGTCCACCTGTTTTCAGTGTCTGTGCCTCCCTGTCACCCTCAACTCCTGGATAATCAACACAGACTTGGAGGGGACAATATCAACAACCCTAAAATGTGAAGGCTGGGCCATCCATGGAGCAGACATCCTCAACACCCAAAGCCCGAAAGTGGCTTCTGAAAGAACTGGGCATACATCATCATAGTTTTCTTTTTCTTTTCTGTGTAGCCTTGGCTGTCCTGACTCCCTTTGTAGACCAGGCTGGCCAAGCTTCATCACTGTTTTCAACCATCCATTCTTCACCTTTGTCGTTGCAAAGCAATGTGACAGCAATACCAGAGATGACAGGCAGTTGGCATCCCGTGAGGGGGAGCTAGCACAGGCAGCTGAGGATGGGCGGCGACACTGTCGACAGTGCCCCCGAGCAGACGACTCTGGGGACAAATGAGGAGTGCCCAGAACATCAGAACAAACTGCAGCCAACCTTCCAGGTACACAGGAATGTTAGGAGACAGCAGGAAACAAATGTATCTCCAAGATACAAGTATCAAAACCAAACCAAACCAGCCTTCATCGTGTCAGGTATCAGAAACACATGACAGCTTGCTTTCATCAGCCCGGCTGTACTACTGTCATGCTATGCTGTTCCGACTCCACCAATGCAACAGTCCTGGGACAGAGGTCCTGTTTCAACTCTCAATTCAAAGCAGCCAAGACACTTGAGCAGGAAGAAATAAGAAGTGAGCGATCAGACCCAAGGCAGAGAGTCACACCCCTCCAGAGAGCAGCCACTGCCAGCCAGGAGGGAGCGCTCCTGGCTGACCATGCACCAAGGAAGAAGGAAGGAGATATGGGAGCAGGAGGCTCTCTTAGACACCTACCTTGAAGCAGGGCTCCATTTCTCTTGAAGAAGGTACTGCCCGGCCAGATGGGTGGACCTGATGTGCTGGAAGAGAACACAGATGTGCATGAGGCTTTGAGAGCTGGGATCCCCTCGCTCCCCAGCAGCCCTTCTCCGGCAGCCCCCCTTCCACGAACTTCACAGGTGCTGGCCTGGAAACATTTCCCCAGGTGTGCTTTAAAAACAATTAGGTTAAAAACAGGCTTTCTGGTCCCTGAGGCGAAACCATCTGTACAAGAGTTCTGGTTATCATCTTGGCCAGGGTCGCACCTGGCCACCGAGACGTCCACAGGCAACCAGCAAACGCTTGTGGTTCACTGATCTGATTAGGTGATAGCACTGAGCACAGAATGCTTGCTCACCTGCTGGTGAGCTCATGGGTGCATGTGGCTAACAGGTCTTGTCCCTGTCTTGTGACTGACCAGGGCCACGACCACTTCCTGGCTACACATCAAAACTTGTCTTCTATATGCCTGAGCTGGCCTTCCTTGTTACTCTCTCAACCAAATTCTCTCTGCACAGATGGGACCTTGATCCATTCCAACCCTCCCTGTGGCTTTGCATCTTGTTTTCAATTTCTTGTCTTAAATTGTTGCGCTCTGTATCCCATAAAACACTCTGCGGACGCACTGACACCCACATTCTAGTAGCAGCAGAAGCAAGAACACCCCGTGAGGTCGATATATCACTCAGGCGCTCACTGAATTTGTAGATGAGCATTTTCACTGTCTTAAGACAGTCAGTGAAGAACTTTATAGCTGCCCAATCTTAGTGAAAAACCCTTCGAGTGGAAAGAGGGTTATCCTCAATCAAGGACTGGCTCAAGATTAATTTTAGAAAGCCGTCAATTCACAATGTTAGCACATCCAACCCGAGGCAATTTAAATTACTCTCACCAAAATAGTATGTGGCAAATGATGTTGGTGGACGCAAGCATCAATCATATTCAACCTAACAAATTAAAACTGGCCAGAGAAATATATCTTGAAATCCATCAGACAGACAGAAGCACACTTGAACACACACGCGCGTGCACACACACACACACAAGCACACTCTCATGCTCGCCCCTGAATGAATACAAGAATGCTTTAGTAGTCAGCTGGAGTCTGGTTGTGAAGGATAGCAACGCTGTTAACATGGAAGGGAGATGCCAGTGGCATTCTGCCTGCAAGAATTTAATTTCCAGAGGTACAAATATTGTCATAGCTATGGGGACACAGCACAGGATTGAGGAGAAGTTAGGAAATGTTATTAAATAGCATGATAATGTCAGAAGCGCTTGCTAACACAGGCACCTCGTGTTTTACCGCACTTCACTCTCGTATAGTTGCTATGTTTCGGGTTGTCCTTGCTCTTTCCTTTTTCTATGAATTACAGGTTTGAACACCCTGTGTGCAGCAACTGTATCGGCACCAGTGTCCTCAGTTCCAATAATCCTTTGCATTCTTTAGCAACAAAGGAGCTTTAAGCTGAGGTTTGTACATCAAGCCCAACAGACTGTACAGATGCCGTGTTAAATGTAACTCTTATGTGTACCGGGCAACCAAAAGATGGTGTTGCTTACTTCAGCATAGCACCTGCTCTCTTGTGGAGGTCTGAGCAGAACCTGCAGATAAGAACCTGTTCGGGGAACTCCAGTGCTCACAGACTTGCTGTTTTATTTTGCTTTGGACCCACTATATTAAAAGTGAGTGGGCTGTTCCCTGTCGCCCAGATTCTCACCCCTGGTAGGTGACAAGGAGGTGCACAGGACGGTCACAGACCCTGCTGGAGGTGCAGGACAGTGGTGGCAAGCTGACTCTTCTCCCCTGTGGCTCCTCTGAGGCTCAGTCAGGAAGAACAAGGTATGTGAAGGTCTTTAAGCTGGCCTTTAGCCGCCCCTGCACGTCCCCGGAGGCCTACCACCTTATCTTTAAAATAAAGGAGGAACCGGCGGGCCGGCTGCTGCCAATACTCAGCCGGCTGATTCATAAAGATATTTAAAAACCGAGGGCTTCATTATACAGAGGAGTTCATTGCTTCTGGAGAATTCAATAATTGAGTATTACTGCAGAAGCCTGGATATCCAGCTTACTGCCACCCAAATCGCCTTTTTATCCTGACCCTGATTTGGCAGACAACCGAGTAGACAGCCAGGATGGAGCAAACTCGGGGAGCTGAGGTCAGATAAACCCAGTGGTTTTAGATAAGGAAAAGTCTCTGTACGGTGGAGATCTACCGGAGGATTTCTATAGCACCCCTTTTAACACCTTAAGTCGCTCATCAGTATTCGGTGGTCACTGGGCTCTGCTGTCCCTCTGGTGTGTCCTCGAGGGCTGGAGGGAAGTGTGGCCCAGCATACTGCCTGCAATGGCCCCTGGTTATCAGTACTTGCTGCACTCAAAGAGTAGGTGTGGTGCGGTGTGTGTGTGTGTGTGTGTGTGTGTGTGTGTGTGTGCACATGTAAATGCTGTACCTGTAGTGTGTGTGTGTGCACACAGATGGTGTGCCTATGTTTCTAGCAGTTAAGTGAGCCGGTGTTCATACCTTTGTTCCTGTGTGTGTGTGTGTGTGTGTGTGTAGCAGTTAAGTGAGCTGGACGTTCCATCTTCATAACTGCAAAGCTTTGGAGCACCAAGCGCCATATTCTGTAGGCTCCTTTTAACTTTTCCCTCAAAATGACATCATCTGACCATTAGGGATTTGAGGACTTATCAAGCACTTACTGAGAACTGCTTTTGGTGCGACAAAAGACTGGGAAGAAGGGGGAAACTCATAAAAGTCCTATCTGTGACCCTGAAGAACTTGCTGTCAGACTTTCCTCTGATGCCACCTAGAGAGACAAGGAATGCCTGTAGGGAGGCTAATGGCCCTGGCTCCAGCTGCACTCTCGAAAAGCACAAACTTGATTTTCACTCCTACAGCTGGAGACATCCCTGGCTGATTGGCTTTCAGAGCTCAAAGTTAGTTAAAAATACATCCAAACGAATTTACTTCAAAATGCATATTAACTACAACCATTCCATGAAAATGGCGGTGTGACGCTTATAGCTCGTAGCTACCCCCTTTTCAGATCAAGAGTGGCGGGGAAGGGTGGCTGACACATGCTAAGAACAGGCTCCTGAACCTTGTCCTGTAAATCCGAGAGGCTGCTGAGTATTGTTACTTTCAGGCAGAATGGCCAGGAAGCACCCAGAACTGAGTGAATTTTGGTCATCTCACCATGGTTCCCTCACGGCTGATCACTGGACTAGCACGTGGTCACCTGACAAGCCCAACAGTTTTCCCTGATCCTCCGTGGCAGGCAGGGCAGAGGTCACCTTCCCATTCCACAGGTGAGCAACCATGGTCCTGGGAGGTCAGGGGATTGTGAGCTACACCACATGAGCAGCCCTGGGCTTCCAGAGTGCCTGCCTCTTGTCCTTGCTCATCTTCCGGGTTGCCCTTTCCCGCCTTCCCATACAGAAAACTAGCAGCCACCCTTCCCCACGGACGGTCTTTTGTTAGGAATCTCTTCCTAGGCAAAAGTCCTGGCCTGGGGACAGCAGTCTGACCAACTGTTTGTGAAAAGACAGCGGGCCCTATTAGCAAAAACAATACCAGGCCCGCACTACAAATGTCTCATTTCAATAATGTGCTAACAGTGACCTTCAGCACTATCAGCCATTCCAACTCGGTGACAAAGGATTGCGGCCAACAGGTTAAGAGGGTCTTGCCTGCCAAAAAGTCGGTCCCTGAACCAGCATTTTGCAACACTGCTCTGCTGCACGCTGAGCCCAGAGCAGAACCAACAAAACCCCGGAGTGGCACACTATCTCCCCAACAGCACACCACGAGTCCTCAAGAGGCCCACAGCACTCAATCACTCCCAGGCCCCATGATCTTTTCTTCACCCCCAAGAGGATTCTGGGAGTCAACAGGTGATAGAGTCCCGAGGTAGGTCTTGGAATCATGATACGGTCTGTCAGATGTCTGTACGTGAGCTTCAGTCATTGTGAACATCTTCTGAACCCAAAGTTCGGGCAGTTCTGAAAGGACCCCCTCCTGTATTCAGCAGTCTGGATGTTTTATGAGCCCCATAACAAGCCAGCAGTGAAGAGCATGTTTTTCTAAGGTCCAAGATGCCAAGCATGAACTATAGACCACAAAGAACAGGATGCTTCAAACGTGGAGGGCAAGTGAAGGAATGCTAAACGAATGAAGCCGGCAGAGGGGACCACGCTGTCGGGGTGTGCTTCCATGAAGTCTCTAGGGCAGTTGCTCACAGACAGAAGCAGGAAGGCACGGTGAGGGGGTGGTGTGTGGACAGTGGGCATTGAATGGGCAGAGTTTTGATTTTGCGAGATGGACAGTTCTGGAGACTGGACACACAATGATGCCAGTGCTCTTTGCACTACAGTGTGGCACACTTTAAAAAAATGGCCAAGACAGTACGTTTTACATTTGTTTTACCATAAGTTATAAAAACTGAGAGTCCGGGAGAAAGAATTGGGTGGTGTGGAGGGAAGACACGGGGGGGGCTCTGGAATGGATGCTTGACCTGAAGCCTGGAGTGTTAGGCAGGAGGACAGGGCCAATTCACACTCCTTCTGACTTTCCCCTGCTGTTCACCAAAATGGCCCACAGCACACTGAAAGGCTGGTTCAGCTCCCTTCAGTCCTCTGGGGGACCTGAGCTTGACTACCCTTCAAGCAGCTTGGCAGGGATTCCTGTTACACCCATCGCTAGAAAGGGTGTGTGAAGGAATCGTCAGGATTTGTACATCCACCATTGAACGTTTTGCTAGAATAAAACAGAGTACACACAAGTACAAGTACACACACACACACACACACACACACACACACGCACAACTTCATCGGTTGCACAACAGGGGCCAGTAGTACAGGCAGTATGCTAGGTCAAGCATGCCTCCACCACCTGAGGAGAAAGAATGGAAACCAACCAACAAAACAATGCATGTTGAAATACTACCCCTTTAAACTAACTTCGGCTAGATCGCCAGGAAGATAACAGAGAAGCAGAGAACATACCTAAGACCCTAACACAACCCCTGAAAGAAA